GCACCTACGCTTTTCTCAACACTTGGGATGGAGCCTAGTGGCCACACAGGCCCAGCTGTGCCTGACACATGCCCAGGAACGGGCCCAAGAGCCCCCTCACTGAGTTTGCTCTGATGCTGTAATGGCCAACTGGAGTCTCAGCTTCCCTTCAGTGTCTAGGCTCCCAGCGCCCTCCATCTGAGGCTCAGAGAGAGCCAGTGACCTGCCTCAGCCACACAGACAGGGGCTTTCAGATGTCCACAGGAAACCATGAGCTTGAGTGACACAAGATAAATCAGAAAAATCAGAATTCTAGTTTCTCAGATTCTTCTGTGGGTTTTGTTATTGTTTTTTTGAGATAGTCTCACATAGCTCAGGATGACCTCAAATTTACTATGTAGCCCAGGATGATCCTTGAACTTCTGATCCTCCTGCCTCCATCTTGAAGTGCTGGGATCATTTGAAGTGTGGGAAACCACCCTTGGCTTCTTCTGTGGGTTTTGCATTGTTGCTTTCTGAGACAGGGTCCTGCTTTGTAGCCCAGACTGACTTGGAATTCTTCTTCCTCCTGCCTTGGCCTGCTGGGTGCTGAGATCATGGACTGGTGCTTCTGGCTGCTTTGGGGCTATTGTCCCTCCTGTGTTCAGAGTCCCCTGGCCACACCTTCCCCTGGAGCCTTCCCTATAGGAACCCTGCCTGTCCCAATAACACCTCTGACTTGTGCTTCTGCTTGGGACTGGACTGGAAAGGTAGCGTATTTGGTGGCTGTGACTGTTCTCCCCACTTCTTCCTCTCCATCTCTTCCCCTTTCCAGTCTATTGCTTCCCAGCATGCAAAGCATAGGTCAAAGTAATGAAGAACTTCAACTGATCAGTGAACTTGACAGATAATACTGAATCTCATGGGGATGGAAGTTTATTTTCTTTTCAATGCTTTCTCATTCCTCTGATTCTTTTTTTTAAACAATGGTCTATTTGATGGTGATGTAAAAAAAATTTTTTTTTGGTTGTTTTGAGACAGGGTCTCCCTGTAGCCCCAGCTGGCCTAGAACTCATTATGTAGACCAGGCTGATCTCAAACTCACAGAGATTCGCTTGCCTCTGTCTCCCAAGTGCTGGGATTAAAGGCATGCACCACCACACCCAGCTAGGTGATGTAAATTTTAACATTTAACAAAGCTTTATTATTTTATTTTATGTTATTTTATTTTATTTTGTATGTGAATGTTTGAGACAGTCTCTCATGTGTCCTAGGCTAATCACTATGCAACAGAGGATGACCTTAAACTTCTGAGCCTCCTGCCTCCACTTCCCAAGTGCTAGGATTGCAGGCTTGCACCACAATGACCAGTTTTACGTGGTGCTGGGGATGGAACCCAGGGCATGCCAACTGAGCCACATCCCTAGCCCCAGGGCTTTATTTATTTTTCATATGCTTATTTTAATACTTGTCTGTTTCATACAGGCAGTATAAGAGATGTTTCAATATTTTCTAATTTTTTATGTATGGACCTAATTTTATATATAAGACTAACAGGTGTGGCGGCACACACCTTTAATCCCAGCACTCATGAGGCAGGGGCAGGCTGATCTCTGTGAGACTGAGGCCACCCTGGTCTACATAATGAGTTCCAGGCCAGCCAGGGCTTTAGGGAGACCCTGTCTCAAAAACAAAATAAAAAATAAAAACAAGAAAGAGAGAGAGAGAGAGAGAGAGAGAGAGAGAGAGAGAGAGAGAGAAAGCTTTTCCCTCTTGTTGCTGTCTCCTCTCCACGTCTTACTTTCCCTACTCAATACAACATGAAACTCCCTCCGATCAACACGGCTCTATTTCTTTCTTTATAAACGCTGCAGATAAGATGCTGAGCCATGGGTAAACCAGAATCTACTCAGAAGGTTTCCCATGAACAGATACTTTCACTCCATTATCAGTCATGTGCTATTCAAAAGAGACTCTGACATTTTTTTCTTTTTTAAAATTACCTTTATTTGTGTGTGTGTGTGTGTGTGTGTGTGCGTGTGTGTGTCTGTGTGTGTATTCCCTCCTGTGTGTGTGGAGGTGTGGAGGTCAGAGAACCATGGCAGTGGGTTCTCTCTTCCTACCATGTAGGTCCAGGGGACTGAAGTCAGGTCCTCAAACTTGGCAACAAGTGCCTTTACCCACTGAGCCATCAACTCCTGCTCAGCATTGAACATTTTTTAAAAAAATATTTTATTTATTATTCTTCTTTTATGTGTATGAGTGTATTGACTGCACGTATGTGAGTGCACCCATGTCGTGCAGTGCCACAGAGGTCAGAACAGGGCATCGGATTCCCCTGGAACTGGAGTTTAGGACCACTGGTAGCCGCCATGTGGGTGCTGGGGATTGAACACAGGTCCGCTGCAAGAGCAGTTAGTGCCCTTAACTGCCGAGCCATCTCTCTAGCCCCAGCATTGAACATTTTTACATTTGGTATCTAAACCATGCAAAGTCAATGCATGGGAAAAGACAACGGTTCCTTTCCAAATAAATTTTATTGCAGGAAAAAAAGTGACCCAATTTGAAGTGGGAAGCCCTTGTCCCGCACCAAGACCTGAGTGGAAGGAGGGCTCAAGGTAGCTTTGTTCCTCTAGCACAGAAGTATAAGAACACAAAAGCTAGGCTCTTTTCTTGTGACCTGGGAGAGCCGAAGGCGGAAGCCCAAGGTGCTTGAGTATCACCAATTCGATGAACTGGTGACAGTTATCCTTGGAGGTGGCAGCTTCCTGTTTGTGTTTCTAGTCAGTTAGTAAGTCAACAAGCACCATGTTAGGTACCTTGGAGGACCCCCCTGGGGCCCTGCCTGTCAGGATTTTATGGTCTAGAGAAATAGAAATAATGTGCACCTTTACACGTGAGAAAGTGGTTTCCATGCCAGACAGAGATGATTCTAAATTAAGCTGAAGACCCCATAACCAAACATGGCTACACACACACTCTGATACATGACTACATACTCACAAACACAGTCTCAATCACATGCTAGCACATACAGTCACTTGCGTGCATGCACACACACACACACGCACACACATCCCACATACACCTTGCAGTCAGCATCCCAACCCTCTCTCCTACCTCCTCCTCCTGTTCATGCAGAAATATTAAGAGCCAGGCTGGAGCTCTGGGCCTGTGCTGTGGGAACCAGAATTCTGCAAGCCTCACTCGTGGGCATCTGAATTCTCACTCTGAATATTACATTTGCTGCAGAGTTTGTGTTCTGAATTCTGAGTCATTTCCCCATCTAGGTCAGGCTGATCAGGGAAGGAGGGAGCTGGTGAAGATGGGCAATTAAAGATCCAAGCACCTTCTGTCGGGTGATGGAGGGGCCCAGACGGGTGCTCATGAGAAAGCTGTGCCTGCAGGGGTTTTCAAGGGGTGTGTGTGTGTGTGTGTGTGTGTGTGTGTGTGTGTGTGTGTGTTCCTGGGACAAGTGTGGAGTCCTCAGGGAAAATGTGCAGTAGTGGTACTGAGTCTTCAACCTCTTATCACCCAGACAGGTCCAGGCTAGACTGACTGGGCTGTGTTGACAAGCACAGCTCAGACTCCTCATGGCTTAGCTCAGTGAAGGTCTGCTTCTTATCCACAGTGGAGAGCTGGGTCAGTACCTGCCCCAGCTTGTAAATGTGCCTGGAACAAGGCCTTTGAATGTCCCACAACAGGAGGCAAAGTGCAGGGGGCTCACTGCCTCTGCCTGGCTTGGCCCAGCAGTGGGCTTTTGCCCTTCTCCCAGATTTGAACACGAGGTCCCTGCCTCTGTCTTCTCTTCATGCATGCCAACCAGAACATCTCAGGACAGGTCAGAAACAGCTCCTTGGGCAAAGTTTGAGTCCTGGCTCTGCTGTTAGTCTCGTGCCAAGGTCCTAATAGGAAATAGGTGGATCACTCAAAATAGAGAGTATATGGGCCCGAGAATGTAACTCAGTTGGTAGAATGTTTGCCTAGCATGCATGAAGCCCTGGGTTCAAGCCCCAGCACCTCATAAACTAGGTGTGGTGCCTTGCAAACCTGTAATCCCAGCACTTAGGAGGTGGAGGCAGGAGGATCAGGAGCTCAAGGTCAGCCTCTGTACATAGTAAATATGAGGCCAGCCTTAGGCTATATGAGACCCTGTCTCAGACAAACAAAAAATGAGTTTGTCTATCCTTCTGCTACTTTCTCTGTTTACTAAAGATAACACAGTAAGTAGGAGGTAGGAATAACCGAGCTGGGCTTGCCTGGACCCAAGGAATCAAAAGAGTGGTCAGGGAAACCCAGAGAGATGGTTGAGGAGAGGTCTGTACCTTGAGAGGAACAAATGGCATTCAGATAAGGGACAGCTTACTCAAGTGACCTCACAGGGAGGGAGCCAGGGGCATAAGCACCATGCCACCACTTTCCTCCCTCCCTCCCACTCTACTGTGGCTCCCATTGGCTGTATCCAACAGAGGCCCAAAGGTGGGGAGGGTGCTGAGGCCAGCCTCCTAGAGCAGAGTAGGCTGTTCTGGAGGGACAGAAGCACGCTGTCTGGCACCAGCAATGGTCTTTGTATCACTTAGGCTTTCCCGTCTGATCTGTGAGATGAGGTTGCTAACACTACACTGCACTGTGCTGTGGAGACTAATGGATCTCTCTATGCAAAGACCTGAGGCTGGATAGGACTTCAGGGAAGGCCAGTTTCTCAGTGACTGAAAGCTCTTTGCAGCTCAGTGGTTCTTAGGCTAGCCCATGTCAGTTATCCCAAAGGGAGACATGAAATTTTCCAGCAAATTCTCCAAAATTTTTTTTTTTTTCTAAATCACTCCCATTCTGAGCTCCTTCTCCCAGGCAAGCATTCCATAGGTTCTTATGTCAGCCAAGAAACAACTTCCCAAGTGCCATTGCCAGCAAACTAGGACTGGCAGGGAAAGAGGCTGAGTCACCCACTGTAGCCACATAGCCAATAAGTAGATCAGGCTCCAAAACCCCCTGCAGCTCTCCCCCTGGATTCTGAGGTTGCATATGCAGTTTCATAGGTACAGCTAAGGAGGCTGTATACAATGTGAAGGGTTTTCCCCACCCTAAATGGAGCAAAGGGACCAAGGCATTTTGTGGCCTCTGCCATCTGGACATCTCTGTGACCTCCCTTGCCAGATCAACTACCCTGACTGCTGCTGGTTTATTCCAGGCTTCCTGTCTCCAGCCCCTTCTGGCCAGCGCAGTAACACCAGCACAGAGAATGAGTCCTTGGGCCCAGGTGAGCCAACCATCTTTCTAGGGTCAGCTTTCGGGGACCAAATAGGTGGTCTCCAGGATAATAAGAAAATGCAATGAACTTTTCGGGTATCAAGGAAGTCGCCTGGCTTCAGGCACTTCTTCTAGGGACTGAGGTTCTATCATTGGGCCCCCCTTGAGGTCTGAGAACTCCTGTATTTGAGAGTCTCATGTTTCATGTACACCCCAAGGTACACCTCAAGCACTTGAGGGATTCGTGCTAGAGTTTGTGGTAGGGTGGTAAGCATCATCAGCCCAGTCTTTCATTCACTCTGCACCTGTTTATTAAAGGTCTGCTGTGCAAAGCTATGAGCTAGCAGTGGGGTGCATTTCCAGCAAAGAATCAGACGGGTGCTCCCCACAGGAAGGGCTCTGGAGAAGGCACCACCCACTTCCACTGCATCTGCTGGTCTTCCAGCCCCTGATGCACCACACACTGGTCCTCCAGGGCTGAAAGTCACTGTTGCACCCTCTAGCACAGTACCTTCCTAGCAGCCAGGGGACCAGGAAGGAGACTTGGTGGCACAGGGTCCCTGAACTAGATAGAACTCTACCTGTCTGCTGCAAGGGTGCCATTGGAGACAGGGTCGCTGGAGAGAGGATCCTGGATTCAGACTCTGGTTCTCAGTCATCCTAGGCCTAACCCATTTTAAGCTCCAGAGGCGCCCCTGAGCCACACCTTTTCTCTAAGTTGAACCAGAGGGTCAGGCCTCAAAGTCTCCCTCTCTCCCCAAGAGGCTGCAGGCTGGAAAGCTTGAGTTCCAGTCAGCTGGGCTGGAGGTAGAACCCCGCCCCCAGCCCCCAACCAATTGCAAGGTCCATCCCCATTCCGGGACGGGGGCATTTGAATCTGAAGAGGTCTCAGCTGGAATCTAACCCTTCCAGGAGAGCGTCTGGGGGTCCGCCTGGTGAACCGGAGCAGCCGCTGCAGCGGGTCGGTGGAGGTCTGGCTGGGGGAGTCCTGGGAGCCAGTGTGCAGTGCGCTCTGGGACAGGCTCGCCGCGGAGGCTGTGTGCAGCGCTCTGGGCTGCGGTGTGCCGGGGACAGCCGTCCAGCCTGTGCTGCCCACTTCGGAGCTGCCGCCAGAGACCACCTCGGGGAACACCAGCGGCACCGAGAACACCACTCGGACGCTGGGGCTGGCGGTCCAGTGCAGAGGAGCTGATTGGCAATTGTGCGAGGTGTCCCGCCGGTGCGGCGGCGATGGGAGACCGGCATGGGTCACCTGTGCAGGTACGCGCGCTGCCACCTGCCTACCAGGATCCAAGCACTGCAGCCAAGCCTTGATCTCCAGTCTCCAAGCCCTAGCCTTCCCCACCCGTGCAAACTGAAATGGTCCCACATTGAAAAGTCCACAGAAGTGGGTCATTTCCAGATCTGACCCTCGCCTTAGATGTGGCCTGTAGATCCCTCCCTGTCTGGATTCCCAGATCACTTACTTGGTCTCCTTAGTTCCCCATCCTAACTGTGTCTCTGCCCATTCCCTGTCTCCTTCCTAATCAGGACCTCGATGTCCACCCTGCTCTCCTTGTACATAAATACACATGTTCCCGGCTTGACCCCTTAGCGCAGTGGCTCCCAGACCGTGATCTGTGCTCCAGGCCCCGCCTACCCAGTCTCCGATCCCGCCTCCTGGCCTTCAAGCTCCGCCCACCGGGTCTCCAAGCCTCTTCCACTCCAAGCCTTGGGTCTCCCAGACTTCCCCGTCTGGTCACAGCCCCTCCCACCTAGTCCAATGACCCACTCCCCTCCTCTGACCAGGACTTCAACATCCAAACCCCTCCCACCCTCAGAGAATCGCGGTGTGAGATTGGTGGACGGTGGCAGTCCCTGCGCAGGCCGCGTGGAAATGCTGGAGCAAGGCCAGTGGGGGACAGTGTGCGATGACACGTGGGACCTGGAGGACGCGCACGTGGTCTGCAAGCAACTGCAATGCGGCTGGGCAGTCCAGGCGCTGCCGGGCTTGCACTTCACCCCGGGCCAAGGGCCCATCCATCGCGACCAGGTGAACTGCTCTGGGACTGAGGCCTACCTGTGGGATTGCCCGGGGCTGCCAGGAGACCAGTACTGCGGCCACAAGGAGGACGCGGGCGTGGTGTGCTCAGGTCGGTGACCCTGGAGGAGGTGACACATTTCGGGTAGGACTTTCTGAGTGGAAGTGGGTCTCAGGAAACTGAAGACAGAGAATCCCGTCCCTCTACACCCCCATCCCCAGGAGCTGTTGAATGGTCTAGAACAGACTGGGAAGTTCAGGTGCAACCCTGCGCTTCCCGTTAATATGCGCAGGAATAGAGGGCGTTTATTCAAAGATCACCAGGTCTGGGGCCAAGCTCTGGACTGACTGTACATTTGTTAACAACACTGCGGATTCTGTGGGTCCACAGCCCACGCTGGGCAGGCAGCATCCAAGATCCTGAGGCAAAGCAGGTGGGGCAGTGAGGGGGTCCCATGCAGGAGAAAGAACGCTCAAGAGTGGACTTGCTTACCTCTGCGCTGGAATTCTGGGTGGTAGGGGTTTGGGCCCAACATCCTGGCCTGACTCCGCCCCCTGCCCATCAACCCCCAGAGCACCAGTCCTGGCGCCTGACTGGAGGCATTGACTCCTGCGAAGGGCAGGTGGAGGTGTACTTCCGAGGGGTCTGGAGCACGGTGTGTGACGTCTCCTGGTATCCGCCCGAGGCCTCAGTGCTCTGTCGGTCCTTGGGCTGCGGAAATGTGGTGGATAGGCCTAGGGGACTGCCACACTCCCTGGCTGGTAGGATGTTCTACATCTGTGAAGGAGAGGAGTTCACCCTCAGCAACTGCTCCTGGCGGTTCAACAACTCCAACCTGTGCAGGCAATCGCTGGCCGCTCGGGTCCTATGCTCAGGTATTCCTCCCCCAACTCCCCTCCACTCCTAGATTTGGTCCAGAATTCTGCCTCAGTCTCTGCCCACAGCTTGCACCAGATCAACAGCAGCAAATACTAGCTTCATACCCAGGCAGACATTACTTGTTGATCAGGATTTTTTTCCTACAGATACTCAGTTCAGCCCTAGAATCATGGATCAAGTATTCCTTATTATAAAATTATTTTTATTATGTGTGTGAGTGTGTTGCCTGCATATATGTAAGTGCACCCATGCATGCAATGCCCATAAAGGCCATAAGAGGGCATTGAATCCATAACTAGAGTTATGGACAATTGTTGGCTGCCATCTGGGTGCTGGGAACCAAACTGGGTCCCCTGCAAGAGCAAACAGTGCTCTTAGCTGCTAAGCCATCTCTCCAGCCCGGATCAACGATTTACTAAAGAAGGCGTTATTATTTGCTAAGCAGTTGGTCTCTATTGACTGGAATTGGCTCAAAAGATGAAGCCAATTTGCCATCCGAGAGCTAGTGATTGTAGGAAAAATCAGATTAGGAGACACTGATAATAGTATCTGTGACAACGTTGGGAACCATAGTCATGTGCCTGGCATTGCCAAGCTCTCAGTAGCTCAGCCTCGTGCTCACTGAAGGAGGTGGGCTCTGCTGCGTTTCACCAAAGCTAACACAGCATGAAGATGAGTCACAGCATTAGTGTCTTAGGGGCCATAAAGAAGAACCAGTGCAGGTGGGAGGTATAGCTCAGTGGTAGGACACTTGCCTAGCATGCATGAGGTCCCAGGTTCAAGGGAGGGAGGGAGGGATGGAGGGAAGAAAAGAAGGTAAAGGGAAGGGAAGAGAGGAAGGGAGGGGGCAGAAGGGAAGGGAAGGGAGGGGAGCGACTAAATGGTGCTTTTCAACAGGTTCCCGGAGACTGCACAATTCGACCACTTTAGAAGTTCCTTTGAGAGTTCCAGTCATTGTGGGTGAGTGTAGCTTCTCCCAGAAATACAGGCGCCTGTGTGTGTACATATGCATGCACACATGGATGCCTGCCTGGGGGCTTGTTCCCCCATTCCCCAGTCCCAGTCCTAGTCAGTGGACTTGTCCCCCAGGGAGCTCCCTGCCATGTTAGACTATGGCCTACATGATCATCTACCTACCCCACTCCTTGTGAGTCAGAGAGGTCATGACTGCTTTGGTGCCATGTGGATGCAGCACTGCTGGCCTGGCCAGGTGGAGTGGTCCTCGTGCCGAGGGTACCAGCCAGTGTGTGTCCAGTGTGTGTGTAAGGTTTAGGTCATGGGCTCTAGCGCCCTTTTACGTTATTACCCAAGACTTTCCAACCCCTGAAGCAACTGAGAGAAGCCTCTCTATAACTCAATACTGAGAAACAAGCTGAGGCTCAGAGGCTGAAGTGACAGCAGCCTTATCCACCAGCACGCAAAACCCCAGCTCAACTCCAGCTTTGTCACTAGGCCAGTAGCACAACACAATTTCAGGGACTGGCTATGTGCCTTGGGCAATGCTTAACCTATTTGAGCCACAGGTTCCTTGAGTTTGGAGAATGGCAGTCACGGGTTGCTGTTGTGAAATCCTTTCCTGATGTGCTTAGAATGGATATGTGCTGTGAGAGCTAAAGGGAAGTCAGACATCCTAAGGATTCTGCAATGTAGGCAGGGAACCTTTCCATAGGCCATCCTGCTCAACTTAGGGCGACCTGGGTTCCCTCTGGGTTCCCTCCCCAGCCCCTGGATCCCTTCTGCCCTGCCTCAGACCCTTCAGAGTGGCTAGATAGGACCTGGGGAGGGACTAAAGGAGTAGAGTCCTGCCAGAGGCCCCTCTGAAGGGCATGGACAAGGGTGAAAATTTCCCAGGCTGTGGAATGAGACTTGCAGGATCTGCAGTACCCACATCCCCTTTCTGGAGTCAGGGTAGGGAGCCATATATCCCCCACCGAAAAGCAAAGAGAGACTGAGCTTCCTAGGGTCATAGGAAGCCTATTTTCAATCCCTCCCTTGGTCCCTTGGGCTTCCCTGGAGTCCACATCCACCCAGACCTTCCACATCTCAATATTCCTTTACATTGCTTCTGAATACCAAATCCACCTTCCTGTCTTGGCCCCAAACATCTTGTCAGCAGCCAGAAAGGGAAGGGGAGAAAATGAGGGCTGGGTGAGTGTCATCTTTTCCCCTGGGGGTGTAGACACAGCCACAGCATGTGGCCCAATCTGTTGAGCTCCACACTCCACAGGGCTTCTAAGCCGGTGCCACTGTGTCCTATTGTATTCCTAAGATATAATGCTTGGCACAAAGTGGTACTCAATAATGGTCTACTGAATAGACTAAACTGAAGGCCAGCAGAGAGAGATAGAGGCAGCCTGTGGGCTGATAGCCAGAGGAAAATTTCAGACAGTAAATGCATTTAGTTATTTAGTATGCATTTACAGGGCACCTACTATATACTAGCTGATGGAGAACATTGAAAAAAAAAGGAGGGAGAAGGAAGACGGGTGAAAAGGGGAGTGGGACAGCTGCAGCAAGGTAGAACCATGACGTGAAGAGGGCCCACTCCACTCCTTTTTCTGCCTGAATTGGAGTTTCTCTTTCCAGAATCTTCTGTACCAGTGAGCATGAAGGACAACGAGTCTTCAAAGCTGGCATTCCTCATTTCCTGCATTGTCCTGGGGGTTCTTCTCCTCAGCGCCCTCATCTTCATAGCTGTCCTCCTCTTGAGAGTTAAAGGACAATATGGTAGGTGTGACATTCTGGGGGTATAGATAGGAAGTAGTGGGCACGAGGTGCGGCCATCCCTGGCATGTGAAATGTGGCAGAGCACTAGGTTGAGTGATCCATCAAGGACCACCCAGCCCAGCCCTGGGGAAGCCTCTTGACGGTGGGAATGGTTTTACCTTGCCCAGTGGAAATGGACCCAGTAATGTGGGTTTCCCAGGAGGAGCAGACACTGTGTGTGTTTGTTGTGGGGTGAAGGAGCTGTGTCCTTGAACCTGGAACCTGAAAGGCTAGGAGAGAGCAAAAATGTCATGACATGTAGACTCTCTGCCTCCCCTCCCTCAGCCCTCCCCGTTTCTGTGAACCACCAGCATCTTTCCACTGCCATCCCAGCAGGAATCAATAGCTATCATGCGGTCCCCATCACCATTCCCAAAGAGGAAGGTAGGCTGTCACTCATGGGGAGGGTGTGGGGGGCAGGAAGGGCAGACTCTGGAGGGTCCCCTCTGTTGAGTTCAAAATGGTGTCAGCAGGAGAGCCCAGGCCAGTCCATGCACTGGCTGTGTGACCTTGAGCAAGTCATGACCTCTCTGACTTCCACTTCAGTCCTGCCCAAACTCTGGACTTTTAAGTTCTGAGCTAATAGAAGCCAAGAGTTTTGGGGTATTGGTTATCAGAGGAAGCCTTGGCTCTTCTCACTAGCTAGTAGATTTGTGAGGTCACCTCTCAAGATACTGTCTGATCAGGTACCCGAGCCCTATCACCATTCTCCTGGGACAGGGGCTGTGAATGTTACTTGCCCAACATGCACAAAGCCCTGGGTTTGACCCCCAGCACCTCATAACCTAGATGTGGTAGTGTATTCCTATAATCCCAGCACTCGGGAAGTAGAGGTGAAAGGATCAAAAGTTCAGGTTCATCCTTGGCTAACATATAAAGTTAGAGGCTAGCCTATACTACATGAGACCCTATCTTTAAAAAAAAAAAAGTTTCTCTTGGAGCACAATTTTTTTCACATTTTCTAAGTAAAAAAAAAAAGGGGGGGGGTAGAGATAGCTTAGTTGGTAAAACATTTACTTTGCAAATGTAAGCACCTACGTTCAGTCTCTAGACCCCATGGACAAAGTTGGGTATGGTGGCATGAGGCTGTAATCCCAGCACTGGGGGAGCTAAGACAGACAAATCCCTAGGGTTTACTGGCCAGCCAGTCTAGCCTAGTCAGGGGGCTCCTGAGGAACAACACTGAAGCCTGACCTCTGACCTACACACACACACGCACACACACACACACACACACACACACACACACACACAATTGACTGACCACTTATCCTTTAGGACACATGCTTTACCTCTTAAAAATCTTGCCAAGTAGTTTGAATTCAATCACCCTGTGTTATGAATAACGAATATAACCTTCTATTATGAAGAGTTCAATGACACAAAAACAACCCAAACCCAACCAATAGCACAGTAACCCTTGCATGGGGTGGCTGCATGTGAAAAAAGAGGCTGTGACCCAGCATCTTGCATGAGGCTGAACACCCTCTCCCCCAGCCATCACTCAGCTGAACAACTCTTGGGTCAAGGACAGACCCGCTCTGTGCTTCAGTTTCCTCAGGTGTAAAATGGGGTTAATGATGTTCCAACTTCACAGAGGTCTCCTGGGGGTTGAATGAGATAGTGTCTGTTGGAACGGTGCCTGGTGGAGAGGGTCAGTTGAAGTGTTTGCTACATAAGCTATTGTGTTTAGGTCCCCAGTTTTGAAATGGGAGGGGGACTTTGGAAATGATGGTCCTCCACAAGATGGGTCACCTGGTGCTCTCCCTGCTACTCAGTCCCCTGTCCCTGCCACTGGGCTCTTAGCCTCTCTCCTGAAGTCTTCTGCCCTCTGTGCTGTCGCACCCTGCCCCTGGTCCCTCTGTTCTCTCCCCAGTTCCTATGCTATCCATCCAGCCCTGTGTCCCTGAGGACTCGGACACCAGTTCTGACTCTGACTACGAGCACTATGACTTCAGCTCCCAGCCACCCGTGGCCCTGACCACCTTCTACAGTGAGTGCCAGGCTGGCTCCCTGCAATTCATGGGGACCTGTAGGAGGGCTCCTGTTGATGTCCATGGGACTTGCACAGAGCCTCCTTGTTACCTCCTACAGTGACTGTGAATTTTCCACTGTGAAGTTTTCAAAGTGCCCTGTGACCCTGGATAGACACCTATTCATTGGGATGTCCTGTGTTGTCTCTGGCCTGGTAGGATCTCAGTGCCATCACCAGGCCCTGCACATCTACCTAATAAGATCTGGGACTATGTAAGCTATGAGGGCCCAGGCAAGACATAGTTGAAGCAATTTATTTTATTTTACTTTTATTTTATGTGTATGAGTGTATTGCCTGCATCTATGTAAGTGTACCCATATTGTGCAATGCCCATGGAGGTCAGAAGAAGGCATTGGGTCTCCCTGGAACTTGGAGTTACCGGCAGTTGTTAGCCACCATATGGGTACTGGGAAGTTAACCCAGGTCCTCTGCAAGAGCAGTCAGTGCTCTTAACCTCTGAGCCATCTCTCTACCCCCTGAAGCAATTTCTATACACTAGTTCACCCCCCAACACTATGTCTCACCCTGACCTGCCCAGCCCACTCCATGCCATGCCAGCTTGTGCCTCTTAGGTGGTTTGTCTAGCTCTCTCACTGCCTGCTGGGAACAGGATGAGGGAAGATGGAACTTATAGTAGGGCCCAGACAATGCTGGGAGGTTGGACTACACCAGAGGGTCCTGCCCTTTCTGTGGAATTACTTGGAGCACATCAGAAATCCTTGCACCTCACCTGTACCTACTGCACAAGTTAGAACTAGACTTCAGCTGTATATGACAGAGACCCTCCAAATGTCAGGGTCCTGAGAAATTGAGGGGGACCTGGATTCCTTCTTTGATAGTGTCTCAAAGTCCCTAGAATGTTGCCTTTATCTACATGGCTCACACAGTGGGATGGGAAGGTCATCCTTGACTCCCATCCCTCTATGCAGAGCACAAGCCTGCTAGCTGCAAGAGAGGCAGGGCAGGAGCCTCCACACAGGCAGTGGAGGGTTAGACACAAGGAAGAATGATCCTGAGCAGTGGCCAGCTATCTCCACCCCATCTACTGACTCAGGACCTCCGGGATGTGGGGGATCCACCTCTGCTGGCCCATGGGCAGAAGTTAGGTAGCCATTGGGATATGTAAGGTGCAACTCTGTGTCCCAAGTGCTGTGAGACAGAGACTCAAAGTCACAGATGGCTCCAAAGAGCTGACCCACCTTCTTAAGACTGATCCTGAGACCTGAAGCTGCCCAGGAAGCTAACCCTAGGACAAACATCAGTCCATTTCTGGAGCAACCTGGGCATGAGGGAGCACCCAGAGTTAATAACATTCTTATGCAGGAGGGGCAGCCGAGCAGGGTGGGCATGGAGAAGTTGCCAGAAGCCACCTGTCTCCACGCTGATGCATGGTAGACTCCAGTCTGTCCCATAGAAGTTAGGGATGCCTGGGTAACAGCCAAGCCCACCCTCCTGTCCCCCTCCCTACTTCCTGCAGATTCCCAGCGGCACAGAGTCACAGAGGAAGAGGCCCAGCAGAACAGGTTCCGGATGCCGCCCTTAGAGGAAGGTGAGTCCAACAGGTGCAGGTCTTGGAGATAGTAGGTAGAATACCAGCTTAGCCTTCAGACCCAATAGCTCAGCTCAAATTGGAACATACCAGCAACAACTTCTCTCAACTGGTGTCTCCTGATTTAAACATTCCCATAGGCAGTAAGTTCTGTCAGGAGTCTGGATTAAAGCCCTCTTGCTGAATTGCTTCTTTTCCTTTCCTGGCCCAGGACTCGAAGAGTTGCATGTTTCCCACATCCCAGTTGCTGACCCCAGGCCCTGTGCAGCAGATGCCCCTTCTCTGGGCACTCAGAATAACGCACGGAGCAACAGTGAGTCCAGCACCTCTTCTGGGGAGGATTACTGCAACAGTCCCAGAAGCAAGCCACCACCATGGAACTCCCAGGTGTTTTCTTCAGAAAGGAGCCCCCCTCTGGAGCAGCCCTCCAGCTTGGAACTAGCTGACTCCCAGGCAACATTTTCAGGTAGTAGTGAGCCTTTCCAAGCTCCCCATCCTGTAGCCAACCTGCCCAGAGGAGACACAGACCGGGACCCTGAGCCTCTAGTTGGCTGTGTGACATTGGGCAAGACCCCTCCCCTTTCTGGGCTATCATTTCTTCATCTTCTCAACTCCTGCCTTGTTTCTCCTGAGTCCTCAGGGCTTTGGGGTTGGGAAACTTATGCACAGGCTGGGCTTGGGTCTCCAGCAGGGATGCCAGCTGGTGATAGCTCCAGCACCTCATCTGGAGAGTGGTACCAGAACTTCCAGCCGCCGCCTCACCATCCTCCAGTGGAGCAGTTTGAATGTCCAGGTAGCAGGGGCAAAGGAGTGGGCTGGGGGTGGACAGAGTGTATAGACAGAATGAAGGTACTGTGAGAGGAAGTGAACACCCTGTCAGTGGAGGTATTCAAGTAGATGAGGTCTATCAGTCACAGAGGGGTGCCAGCATTTACTGCCAGCACTCTCTCATCTTCCATGTGCAGCTCTGGCCTAGACAGGCTCTGGTTGGAGACAGCAGTGAACAAGAGGATGAAATGTTTTCAGACAGTGACTCAGGGGTGTGACCCCTGTGTTCATTCTGTCCCATGGAACAGCTAGGGCAGGAACTGAAACTGAGCCTCCTGGTCCCACAGGACCCCCTGACCCCCAGCTGGAGTCCACTGAGGAGGAGGACTACGATGACATTGGGGCAGCCTAGCCTGGATCTCCTGAGGCTCCTGGGTGGTCCCTCCCTGTTCTCTCGCTCTCCCTACGCATCATCCTTTGCAAGGCTGAGGCCTCCCACAGAGGTGGGAGCACTCGGAGCCCTCGACCTCCATCCATTGATCAGATCAATCTGCATGAGCCCTAAGCAAAAGATGTGGTGGAGGATGTGAGCACTGAGTCCTGGGGTGAACAAGCCAGGTCACCTCCTGCAATTGTGGCAGTCATGCTGGGTGCTTTGATTCCAACTCTCAGGCAGCTGCTAGGAGACTAAGCAGCCCACCTCCTGCTACAAGAGAGGCCCTGGGTGAGTGGCTGCCATTGACTCTCAGGTAGGCAGTGCTGTCACAACACAACCCCAGGGCTTCGCTCAGGGTTGCACCTGCACTTCGCAAGGAATGTGGCCTTTCTGGACCCTGGCAATGGACAGGAACCAGGACATCACATGCTCCCACCCAGAGTGGGGCCTGAGGCCAGTCCTACCATCAAAGACCTTGGAGCCCAACACGGACAATGTCCCTGGACAGCTGAGCCTCATTCTGAGCTGCTGGAGGTTTACAGGGGGTGCTTCCCAGCCCCACAGCACCTACGCTAACTGTATGGAAGCAGGAGTACAGAGATGTCATTCTGGGAGGTTCAGGGGACCCATGAGGCCCTGAGTTGCCATGCATACCCTTGGGTTGACCAGGAGGCTCTGGCTGCATGTGACTATTACATCCAGGACTCTAAACACATCCTCCTGGAGGCCTCAGAGTACTGGAGGGTCCCAGTCAACCTACAGTGGCCTGTCTGGGGTTCCTCAAATTAAATGATTGCTGAGTGAAACTGAGAATGCAGTGACAGTTCTTTGGCCTCTCGGTACAGTGTGCAATGCACATGTATGTGTTTCTGTGTGTATGCACATGTGTGCACATGTCTATGTGCATGTCTGTGTGTATACATCTGTGTGTGCATGTGTGTGCATGTGTCTGTCTCTGTGTGCATGTGTTTGCACTCATATGTGTGTGTGCACACATTTGTGTGCGTGCATGTATGGTTCCTTCAGCAGTAGAGGCACTCAAGTACTTTACTGCAGAATTTCCCGGGGACCCCAGTAAGAATGAGGAAGGGGGGTGACACCATGGGCATGAACCCCTGTGGCTCTGGCCTCCTAGGCTCTGTCCTATAAGAAGTCTTAATACACACCTTTAGATTGTCCCCCAAGGGATAAGGGAGCTAGGTGTCCTGTGGTTGATTGAGGGCTGAGAATGATTGTTCCTCATTTCCCCCACTGAGCTGCCCAGCCTCTCCAGTGTCCCCAAAAAGTGCTCAGGTGGAGGAGGTGTCCTGAGAGGTCACTTTCCCTGACATGGTCCAGAGGAGCTTGTGCTCACTTACACTTGTATGCATGCATCATACTGGCTGTTGGCAAAGCAGAGGCAGCTTTGATGCATTGGGCAGAAATGCCAGGGCTGCCACCTACTATGGCCTGGCACTCTGGCCAATGGGGACACAGAAAACCAGAGAGGATGCTAAGGTGATGGGGTGCAACCTGGAGCGGCCACTCAGCCCTGCTGGGCCTAGGCCTATATGCCAGGCTGGATCTGAAACAGGTGCTCCACTGGCTCCTGCAGCCTCAGGGGCCTCCATACAGGGCCAGGAGTAGAGCCCCCATCTGCAGAGTAGCAAGAATCAGGGCATTTTCTCCATCACTCTGCAGGGGTGATTTTAATACCCACAGTGACCACAGCCCAAACACACTGGCAGAGTGAGGGTTGGGGTCTGGTCTCCATCCTGGAGCTGGGTGCTGGGTGCTGGACCTGCTTTCCACTCCTGTGCCCATGGTGCAGAGTGGCAGGCGCTCCCCAGGGCAACTGTCCCAGGATGTGGTTGCTGGTGATGTGTCACCTCCCCACCAACCCTCCCCAGGGCCCTGGGGGGATTCCTAGCGGAGGAGCCACACCCGAGTGGGAACATTTGTTTTTGTCCCACAGCGCAGCTTTTGCCCCTCGTGCAGGCTGTGCGACCTCAGGCAAGCTACTCTGCCGTCTCTGGGCCTCCGCTTGCAGAACCTTGATTGCAGGGTGTGCTTAGAAACTCACTGGTGCTGGGGAGGGCCAAGGACTGGGGAGGAGGTAAGTGCTCCCCAACCGGTAGATCAATAGATTAATCATGTCTCACTTTAGGAGAATGAGGAGAGAGGCTGGGGTGGGAAATGATTTGTCCCAAGGTCACTGAGAGGGAGTTAGTAATAGAGTCACAATTCTGCAGCTTCCTCCCCACCCCAGCCTCAGACAGAGGGGACACCTCTTCTCTAAGCTCAGATCTCCCTGTGCAGGAGAGATGGGACCCCTGACACACCTGTCCAGCCACCTCCCAGTCCCTGGGGCTGGGGACACTAAAATTGTCCCTGGAGAGGGGCATGGCTGCATCGAGGGGTTGGGGGTTGCTATTCAGGTCCTTGGAGCCAGGAGAGGACTGTGCAAGGATTTACCAGCTCAGCACAAACCCCAGAGTTCTCTGGGAAAGACCCTAGTGGGAGGCCATCTGGGAGTGTCTCCTAAGCAGGTCCTGCAGGATCAGCCTCAGCAATGGAATTGGTCTAAGTCTCTAGGAAGACATAAAGAAATGACACTAAGAAACTGTAGCTGGGGACAAGCCACCCACCAACACAGTCCACTGCCCACTGTCACCTGGGCTCAGGGACATAGATGGCTCACTGCCTGGGCACCCACAAAGAGCCAGGCTCTATGCTAGGCCCTGAGGGCACAGTAGTGAGGAATGGAGCCTGGACCTTGCCCTCAGGGACTTCGCAGCCTGGGTGGCAATGATTCACCTCATAAGGGCACTCTACTCAGAGGGTATTATCCATTATTCTACCTAACTCAAAAGCCCCAATATGAATCCACTTGCCCGCATGGAGAGGGTGCATCACAGCTCTGTCTAACCCACAGGAACTTCAGTGAGCCTGCTTAACCCCCACCCCCAACCAAGCTCACTGTTCCCCCAGAGAACAAACACCAGGAAGGCGGCAAGGCCTCAGACCCTCAATCCTGGGCACATGTGGGCATCTCCCCACACTGGACGGCTTGCAGTTACTAAAGATTCATTTTTCACACATGGTGGCCCAAAACAAGCCAGCCATTTCATCTGGTTGATCTGAGGTCTTGGGGAGAAACTTCTAGACCAAAGCCAGTAACACACAGCCTTAAACTCCTTCCCCAAACTGTGACTGTATTCAAGTTTTGCCCCACTTCTGCCCAAGCACATGACCTCAGTCTCACATGGGACTCTATCACCATTGCTCTGGGGAAGTGTGGGCAGAGAGGAAGGAGCCAGACTCTGTAGGGTGTGTTAAAGAACGCCTGACAAAAAAAGGGATAACTGAGCTGGGCGTTGAAGGATGTATAGGAGTTTGCCATAGGCATTTGCAAGAGCAAGGACTTCATAGAGGTGTCTGTAGGTTTGGCACATGCTGCCTAAAGTCTGGCAGCAGGTGAGAAAGACCCCCTGCTGTGGAGTGGGAGCTGTGAGGGGCCAAGGGGGAGGTGGCCACAGAACATAGGAGGCCAGGGCTAGGGATGGAGGAGAGAGGGCAGATTGGGGGACTCAGGGTTTAGAGAGCTCAGAGTTGATAATGGCAGTTTGATCCTGAGCTCGCTGAGCACCAGGCCGTCCTGGGCAGGTGGTAGATGCTCAGTGCAACCCCTGATCCCTGTGTCAGCCCCACCTTACAGTGGAGGAAACTGAGGCTGGGAATAAGCTCTTCTCCCAGGCCCATCTGTTCAACATGGTGTGGCCAGGCCCTGGCTGTCACTCTGGGTGGCATCCTGAGGTCCTCACTAAAGGCTTGTCAGTGCCGGCTGTTCTGAGAGCCCAGCTGAAGCCATGTGCCCCTTCTACAAGCCTCACAGTGCATACGTACCCTGTGGATGTCTTAAGAGCACCAGTGGACAAGGGGACCAGGAGACAAGGGGACAGGAAGAATCACCCAGGTAGAAGCCAGATAACCATGGCTCCAAGGCTCTGTGGCTGCTCCTTCCCTGACATGCTGCTCCCCCGGCTCCTGACCAGAAGCCTCACCTGTAGAATACACCTGCCAAACGTCACTCGCCCCCATCTCCCCATCTGTGGTTGTCACTTCCGCTGATACATGAAGACCATCCAGATGGTTCTCGAGGTGGGTGGGGCAGCTGGACTGCAGCTTCTCTCAGCACTGGCCTCCCTCAGGCCTCCATCCTGGCCTGGAGAGGATAGCATGGGGTCTCCTGGGATAGGAGGGGCAGGGGAGCCCTTGCGGGAAAGGTCAGGTTCAAAGTCACCTCAGTGGAAAGTTCATCTCTCCACCACATCCTTCAGCTGTTTACCAGGTTGGTGGGGGCCTGGCATCCTGACATGAAAGGAGGCTCACCCTGCCATTGGGAGGAAGGACTGAAATAGCTGCTGGGGGAGGGGGCAGAGAGAAAGAAAGGATTCGGGGATGGGGCAAGGTGCATCTTGTGGCTTTGGTGACTCCCAACCCAGGGCTGCAGTGTCCTAATTTGCACTGCTGTCTTCAGGGGAACAGTGAAGCCCAGGGGAGTCTTGGAAGTACGTCAAGGTGGGGAGTCCTGGAAGTAGGTCAAGGTCACCCAGTCAGGAACTGTGCAGCCTGATTCAGTCCACCAGCCAGTAAGGTTAGAAAGGGCGTGAGGGAAGAGAGGTTGGAGGGGCCAGGTGGGCTGGAGTTCCAGGGAGGGGCAGGAGATAGGTCTTCTTGGGTGAGGATTATGGCCTGAGGAGCCCAGCCCATCCTAGCTGCAGGTGGATACCCCCTACCCATTTCAGGCCCACCTCACCCCAGCCACCGTCCACATCCCAGGAGGAAAGGGGCTCAACTTCAGCATCATTTGCCCTCCTAGAGATTACCTACTTCCAGACATGCCTCCTGCTTCTGGAACATCCTCCCTCCACCCAGCGGGACTGGCCTCCCCTGCACTGTGTCACACAGAACAGCAGAGAGAAATGAGCCACACATGCCATATGCTCCTCCGTGTCCACACACTGTCTTGACCCAGAGACCTGGCCTTCGCCATATGGGATTCCAACCAAAACCCAGAGTTGGGGATCTGTGTGCAACTAGCACCTGCCCAGGAGCACATCCCTGCCCTTAGTCTGAGACATTCTGTGTCACCTCTTTATCCTTAACCTATTGTCCCACAGCAACCATCCAAGTGAAGTGAGGATACAGAATAGGGGTGAAGACATAGGACAGGGGTGAGGACACAGAACGGGGGTGAGGACTCAGGGAGAACAGGGATGACACAGGAAGAATGGGGTGAGGACAGGTCTTAAAGGTTTTATCTGTGGATTTTCTTTAAATTGATTCATTTTGTAATTAAAAAAAATTTATTTTCAAAGGAATCTAGACATTTTAGGAAGTATCCGACATGTGCTTCTGGAAGATTCCATCAGAAGAGCTGAAGAATCAAGGCTGTGGGGCTGGGGTTCTTTTCTGCTTGGAGGGTATTGTTGGACAGGTGCAAACAGGGCTGAAGTCCACAGGTCAGATGGCAGGATGCAACCACAGCTAAGTCTCAGTTTCTGGACAGTGTCCTGGAGTCTTTAAGGAAATATTCTTGCTTGTAAGAATCACCATACAGGACTGAGGGATTTATGGGGAAAGGGCAACATATTATTAAGTGCTTCAGAAAAAAATTCTCATGAGTGGGTTTTTATGGAGGTGTGCATGTGTTTGTATGTACATGTGTTTCTATGTGTCTATGCATGTATGTGCATATATGCACATGCATAAATGTTGTCTTCATGTTTAAGATTTATTAT